GTATATTTATTTCTGTTGTGACCCAGTATCATTATACAGTTTACAGGAAAAGAAAACCTCTGGAGTATTACTGTGTTTATTCCATGTTCTTCAGTAACCTTTTGCACTAACATTTCAACAGGTACATGGCAAAATTCCTTATATTACTAATGTTTTTATAAAGTGCACTCACAAAAAAGAGGTTTTTGTAGTGCAAGCACACACACACATGTATACTCGCACATTTCCTGTGTGACTCTGAGGGTCTCTGATATTTAAACAGATGTGAGCAGACTGAGTAGGCCTGGATCCCTCCCTGACCAGAATGTGCACCTCCTGCTCTGACAGCTAACAGCCACAGAGGACAATCACAGTGCGTACCTCTTTAATGCATGCACGCACACACTGTGCACAAACACACATATCCACAGTCATATATATATATATATATACAGTATATATAGTCAACATCCAAGTCATAAACACAAAACACGTGCTCACTTACACATACACATAAAATGAAAAAAGCTGAGCTGGACAGGTCAAAACCTGAGGAGAGAGGGACAAGAGAAAATATGAATGTAGCAGAGAAGAAATTTGAGAATTTTACAGAAAAACAGAAGAGTGTGTATAGATTAAGATAAAACTGAGAGAAAGAGAAACAAAGCAAGGCAAAGAAAATTGAAATTAAAGACAAATGATAGGAGAATGAGGTTTCAGAATAGTATGAGAAAAAATGTCAGAAACAGCAAAGCAGGAGAAAAACCGATGAAGAGTTCATGAAGTGTGAGCTGAATTTGTGCCACTAGAGCAAAATGGAAAAACCAGAGCCAGTTTATGTAAATACTGCAGGGGGATGAACTCTCATTAATCTCTTTTTGAAATTTGACCTGAATGACTACCCATCAGGAATAAATGAATGATGTCAGATTTTAAATTTGTAATGTGGTTTCACTGGTCAAACGTTGGCAAGTTAGCAAAGGGAAACTACAGTTGTTACAACTGTAATAAATTGTGGAATTATTCAAGTTCAAGTGAAATTCAAACACATAATTCAGTTTAAGTTTGAAATCAATGAGCTGAGGGCTTGAAACAGGATATCAGTAAAATGTGGCCACAAACCACTATCCAGGGGCCATTTGTAGCCAAAGGTTTTCTTTATCCTTGTAGTAAACCCTGTTTTAGCTGCACAGAATACATCTCCATTGTACCTTGACTGGGTTTAATTTAACATGCTTTCCTGCAACTGAGTCAAGACTAAATTCATCCAGGATAACTGGAACATTCTGACTTAATCCCTTATCTTGGTTTTGTGTAATAGTCCCCCCACCCCCAGCAGAGTTTTAACGCTCCTATTGCCACCTAGTGGGTATGAAGAACAACAAAAAGAAGACAGGCAGTATAGTAATGAAGAGCCATTTTCCAAGTACATAACACTTGCTTAAAATTATTTTAACAAATCCTGCTGTGGATTTTCCTCTAAATGAGAGTCTGGGCGGCTATGCCATGCAAGATGCTATTGTTTACAATTACTTTATAAGGTTAATCACAGATGATGGGATTGCACCTTTTATGTTGGAGATATTTTTGTTTAATCAAAATTACATTTGTGATTTGGTATCACTTTTGTTGAGACAATTTTATGATCACAAATTTATTATTTGGCTGAATTCACTGTTCTGGGAGGTATGTAAGAGGCCACTGCATATGTGACAAAAACAAAAATATCAACCATATTGATAATAACAACAAGTGATGTATTATTTCAATTTACACCTTTTACCATCTTATTTAAACATACTGTATTTTTAAATTAATGCGCAGTACATTTTTCCTCTGGTGATCAACAAGAACGTCACCTTTCTGGTGGGATCAAGATAATCCAGAGTTTTTGGATCAAACTGATCCTGATCCTCATCCTATATTTTTGTTTTGAACTATCTGTTTTGATCATTTGATCCAGTTTAAAGCTTGGATTTGATCAGAATTCATATCTGATTCACTTGAATCAGATATGTTTTGGACATATAAAGTTTTGAACTCCTGGGCCCAGAGGGTCAACGGGTCTGTGATCCCCCGATGTTTCATCAAATGTCAGCTTCATGTTAAAATGTTTACTTATGATTGCAACATTCCCCCGAGCTTTTGTCTTTGTGCTTAGTGCTAATAAGCAAATTAATACTGATGAACACTGCGTATAATTATATAGAACCTGGTAAACATTCAGCTCAGTTTAGTTCCACATAAATGCTGAGGAAGTGGCTAAGAGAGACAGAAGGCACAAAAAATAACTGTACCAAAATGTATCTAAAACATGAACATGCATATCTGCACTTCCCTACATATAGTTTTCATTACATACAGTAAGCAGCGGTGGGGCTTTTATGGAAAAAATGTCACCACTTTTCCAGCTCTCCCCTGGAAGCAGGATACCTGGTTGAGTGAGACTGCCTTCCTGAAAACATGCACAAGGCATCCAGGCTGTGGCTGCAGTCCAGTTACTTCTTTAATAGCCTTTTCAGAGTGTAGTACAGTGTCTGTGCATTCTACTGTTTGGCCTAAATCTGACATTGCATTGCTGCATTGGCGGTTGTGTAGCTCTCTTACAAAGGTTGCATTTGTAATACTGAGCTTATCCAACACTGAAACCTAGTCACACTGGTACAGTAGTGTTCTGTTGCCCTGGAGCTCTAAACATCTGGTGTGAGTGTGTGTTTGTCAGTTTGTTTTCATACTTCCATGTATTTCTGAACTTGCATAGAGATGTTGCGTAAAAACAGCAGACCAAGTAAGTTGTTTATTTCCTTATCAGCTCTCCTCTACTTACACTGACCATATGATCATGTTACGTTACTTTTATAGTATACTTTTATAGTCTGTGTGTGCCACTTTCTGATATGGCCTAAGTCATGCAAAGTTAAAAGCAACAGCATCGGTTTGTCAGTATGATTAAATAAATACAAATGAATGTTTACAGATTCACCAAGATTCAGCAATCAGAAAGGCAGCAAAAATAATCAAATTATCAGAGAACAGACTCATAAAATTAAAGCGAGAGCTGTCTGCTGTGGTTTGCCAGTCTCAGATGAATTGTGATGACAAACCGGTCTTCAACTGCTGCAGTAAAGTCAGGAAAACCACTATAAAACGATGCAGTGCACAGCATAGTTTACTGCTACGCTAATGGCATTAACAGAGTGATTGAAAGAGAAAACCAGCTTTACACAGACAATGCCTGTATGTGTGCGTGCATGTGAATGTGAAAGACAGA